AGAGCTCCTTAGATTAGATAATTAAAATAAAAATATATTGTTAATTAGTTACCTATCCAGGGCTTCCTTGAAGTATTTTCTCTGGACATCAAATTGAAAGACTGTTCGTTCACAATCAGTTGAGGCATTGTCGCTACCCCCATGTTTCTTCAGGAAGGCATCAAACCCATTTTCATCTGGGTATTTCAAACTACCCATGAATACCACTATGTGGAAAGAACACAAAATCATAGAACACAACATATAGATAATATTCTATTATTAAGGATGCACTTTCTCAAATGCGTTGAGAAAAACTGAAGAAAATACATCAACACACTAATAGTGGTTTTGTTTCCTTGTAACATCATGAGAATATTTATTTTCTTCACTAAGCTTCTACTTTGGGAATTTTCTATAATGCTCATATCTTACTTTTATACTCATAGAGCCAGTAAAGGGAGACATGAAAAGACAAATACATAACTTAAGCATATATGCAGACCAAATTACTACAGGAGCATAAAAGGGAAAATCTTACCCTCAAGTACCTTATAAAATCAGAATATAAAAAATGAGTTAATTCACACAAAAAAACAGTAATTTAAATATCTGAAATGTATCACAACCAAAGAAGTGTTACTTAGGTGTATTTATAATTAAACTGAAGACTCCTGGTGTAGCACTGTAGTATCAGCACTGGACTGCGAACCACAAGGTCTACACTTCAAACCCTCAGAAACCCTATATAGAGTTGTTATGAGTTGGAACCAACTCAATGGCTCTTAACAACAATAACATAATTAAAGCTGACTTGGTAGCCGAGTTGGTTAAGCAATGGGCTGCTAACCAAAAGGTCTAAGGTCCAAACCCACCAGCTGTTCCACAGGAAAAGCCGTCTGTTTTCTATAGAGGCTTTCTGCTCCTGTAAAGTACTATAGTCTCAGAAACCTTAAAGAACAGTACTAACTGTGTTACATAGGGTGGTTATGAGTTGGAATCAACTAAATGAAAGTGAATTTTATAGTTTAACTAAGGGTTTTCTATTTTGTTTTGTTTTCTAAATGGTTTAATTCTAATCCTCACTTGATAAAAATACATTCAAGGAGATTAAAGGTCTTCCATTATTATATTCATAAATCAAACATTTTTTTAAAGCCTTTTCTCTTGTTAAATATACCATATTTCTATCAATCAATTACCTATACTTGAAATCAATTCATCAAAATTTGGGAGGTAAAACACAAAGATCTTACTGTGCTCCAAAAAGTGTGCCAGACCAGGCAGGTCATCTGGATCTGCGAAACTCCCAACTCCAACACAAAGAGCCGCAGCAGACTGGAGTAAGTAGAACACATACAAATAGTGAGTCAATTATAAATGAGTAATATTAGCATCCTTTTTAGCGATTTGCTTGGAGATGAAGATTTCCAATAGAAACTAACAAAATTCTTTCCCTGATAATCAGGAGGAGCAGCAAAGTGAAACTCACCAGAACTGTGTCAGTTTCACCCTGCTGCTCCTCCTCTTGCCATCCTGCCAAATGCTGAACAGGTGCAGACCTACAGGAAAAAGCAGAAAAAGACAGAAAAAGGGGAAAGCAGACTTGGGCAGCCCACCCAAATATAATTTCATGTCAGCATTTGAGTGCTTAAACAAGTTTGTTCCCTGGATTAGCAAATTTAGGAAATATGAAAAAGTAACAGACAGATCTAGATGATCATCTATAACAATCTCTACACATTTAAAGGTTCTGTGTTTAGTAACTCAAGTTACTAAAAATGAAACCTCTCAACATGTTATTGAGAAAACTTTATTAAAAAGTCAAGCAAATATAATGATAAATAAATTATTAGAAAAGAAAAATCTTCAGCTACTCAAACTATAATACTAAATTTTAAAGAGGCTTTTTAGTTCTTCGCTTCTTATTAAAGATATAATATACAGCATGTATTACTCATCAATAGATATTTTCCCAATACTTTGAGAAAATCAGAGTTTTAAGTTCACCAAAATAGACAGAAGATCACCAAGTTCAGCACTTAAAATGATTAGGGCATACCACTGTTGTTATGTGCCGTGGAGTCAGTTCCGACTCATAGCGACCCTGTACAGGGTTTCTGAGGCTGTAAATCTTTATGGGAGCAGAAAGCATCATCTTTCGCTTGCGGAACAGCTGGTAGTTTCGAACTGCTGACCCTGAGGATAGCAGCCCAATTCGTAACCACTACGCTACCAGAGCTCCTTAGAGCATACCATTCTGTCATTGTAAATTAAAGGCACAAGAAAGGGGGAAAAAAGTCAATTCAAATCTTTTGAGCACAGAAACTTACTAACTTTTCTAATTTCATAAATGTCATTTTTTAAAAAGGCTAACTTATTTGGTGAAACAGATTGCTTTGGTAAATGGTTACTCACTTAGGAACAAAACTTTTTTAAAAAGAGCATGTATGTGATAAAGTCTAACCATGTGACTGACAGAAAATGAAAAATATGTTTTCAGAAGAGCCAAACAGTCTCACTTCAATAAATTCATCTTTTAGACTTGGGTTCATAAACTCATTTAAAGTATAGAGAAAAATCCACTTCTTCAAACCACATTCTAACCTGTTCTGTGATGTTTTTAATAGTTGCCTAACCTGCTTTCAGCTCCAACTACCCCATTAAGTTTTCTTGTCTCGACCAGCTGGGTTGAAGACATTTTTGTGTAAGTTGACTTAAACCACAGTATATCAGTCAGCTTTGACCACAGCAAAAACAGGCTCTGCGATTGCTAGAAAAGAAATTCATACTTGAGAATTTTCTACCCAAGAATTCACACTTGAGAAATTCATACTTGAGAACTGAATTAAGAAAGTTCTGAACAAATCATAACTCAATATATAGCATACTGAAATTTCAATTTTGTTTACTTATCACGTTTTTGAGACCAAGAATATCACCCTTTCAGAAGGACAAGGGAGAGGGACGAAAAGGGTTATTAGAAAAACAGTTCATGTCTTTACATAAATGCTCCCCAGAAACCTATCAGAATCATTTCCTTCACCCTTACTTTGTCAATTCTCATGTTTATCTTAAGCAAGATCTCTATTTCTCAAATAAAAATTAAATTTAAAAAACCACTGCAAAAATTCTATACCACTCTTTAAACAAAAGAACAGAACAACAACAACAAAAAAGTTGCTATCTATCAAGTCAATTCCAACTCATGGCAATCCCATGGTTGATTTTTCAGAAATGGTTCACCAGATCTCTCTTCCAAAATGAGTCTGGGTGGACTCAATCCTCCAACCTTTCAGTCAGTAGCAAGCACATCATCATCACCCATGGGCTCTGATACTACTCTTAAACCACCTCTTATTTAGATTAATTTACTTTATTTCCCTTCTCCAGACACTCATTTATTCAGTGAATATAAACTATTTTCCACTGTTACAATCATGACTCTTTTCTTTCACTCACGTACCCACTGCTTCAGAATCACAACAATTTGATCTCCTATTAGAGCTACTATAGTTCCCTCAATTCCTTTCTAACAGGATCCAATACAGATGTGCGTTGGCTACCAATATCTTATGAGGAAAGGTAAAAAAAAGAAAAAAAAATCACTAGAATCTGACCTTGCTGCTTCTAGAAGAGGTAAATTTCTAAGTTTTGATTCACCTAAATAAATAAAAAGGGGTACCAAAAAGCTCAATGAATAAGGGACTTCTAAAAGTTCATTGAAAAAGTCATCTTTAATTCACTGAAGAGGTTTATTTTAAATTGCTATATAAATCTAAGATATTTTATTATGACTTAACAACAAAATGGTTGCCAAAATCGATTCAAACCCACCTCCTGCTCCTTGGAACCTCTACATTGGGTCGCTATGAGTCGGAACTGACTTGATGTCAACTAACAATATACTACCCATATATAACCCTAGAATCTTGCTTCTCAGTTAACACAAGATATAACAAATTCTAAAACATAGGAAAAGATAAAGATATCAATTACTTACAGATTGAAAGATGAATATAGAAATTTATAGATTAGAAATATTCACTTAAAAAGTTAACACAATTAGCCTTAGGGCGAAAATGGACATTAAAAAGTACATATCCCTTTTAAAAAAAAAAAGTATTGCTACAAAATCAAGAATCCTTTATTTGATAAATAAATAAATAAATGTATATTGAACCATACAAATACACAAAGAAAGTATATACTGTAATCCCCTTGTTTAAGAAATGAGAAAATGAAAAGACATTATCCAGATAGAAAGTCAGAGAGCTAGAATTAAAATTCAGTCTCCTGACTGTCAGTGTTCTTTCTACACTGATTTTTAGTTTTCTAATCCAAAACCACTTGGCCTACCTATATCAAGCTTTACAAAAACAAGGGCATCACTCATAATGTGACTAGCAAGGGATATTCAAATATATGAGCCAACTTCTCCAACAATTTAGTAAAAAAAGTCATACTATATTCCATAAAAAATAACTTTTTCCAAGAAAAGTGACTATCAAAGGATTTATTTAAAGTATTTCTACTACCTGTACTTTACCATCTCCATATTCTTGAGTGTTGACTACTGTAATACATTTGACACCTAAACTTTAGTCTTAATAATCTGAACTGTAAGATCAATGCATGTAGATTACACCATGTTGAATGTGATATCAATACTGAAAATATTAGTTTTAATAAACACTTGTCAATTTTACTGTACTGTCTCCAACATATTATACTCTAATATATGTAATTTTTTACTGCAAAATGGAGACAATCTTCAAAAGATTTCCAGAAAGAAAAATTCACAGTATCAAAATGTATTCATTGACGCTTATATATTAGACTAAACACAACTCCCCCAGTTCTAGTTTAACTCTTCCAATTTGCTATGCTATTCTATCTAGACCTTTGTATCTTTCCCATGGTTGGTGGTTATGTGCCTTGGAGTTGGTTCTGACTCTTAGCAACCCTGCACAGCATTTCCGAGGCTGTGAATCTTTATGGGAACAGAAAGCCTCATCTTTCTCCCACAGAACAGCTGGTAGTTTCGAACTGCTGACCTTGAGATTAGTAGCCTGATTCGTAGTCACTACGCTACCAGAGAGAGAGGTAAATCACAATAATTTACGTACATAAAACTACCCCCAAGAGGACCCCAAGAACATTAGGATATGGGAAGAATCTCCAGTAGCACTGTTCTTTTCTTTTTCCAGTATCTTCAGAAGTAAACACTCTCTGCCTGGTTAAGATTCATGGAGCTCCTCACTTCCCTCTTTAGGAACCTAAACCAACACTTCTGTTTTTAAAACACTTAATATGTAAACACACATAAATTCAGATGTTACCTGTGACTACCTATGGAAGGTAGGGGTATGGGTGATTTTTTTATTTTTGCTTTTCTTTATTTTCCATTGTTTTTTAAATGTACTCTTTATACAGGTATCTTAACTGAAGATCAAAGATGCTTTATATCACTAAGATATAAAGCACAAATTTAGAACTTATCCCTAAGAATTCCCAAATTAGAAATAGATATAATAGACAAGACTCGCACCTGTTTTTCAGTGGTTTTTTTTCTAACTTCTGCCCTTTCTTCTAACTCTTCCAATTCATTATCCTCAGTAACAAGATCATCATCATCGTGTTCATCGTTATCATCAAACTCATCTTCATCATCAAAACCTTCTTCATCATCATCTTCTATTTCAGCTCCAGAATCTTCATCTTCGTCATCATCTTCATCATCATCTTCATCATCATCATCATCTTCTTCTTCTTCTTCTCCTTCTCCCTCTTCTTCTTCATCATCTGTTGCATCTCCTGTTTTACCTTCTATGTTACTTAGGTCTGAAATCAAAAGTGCCTGCAAGCCATTCTGTAATTTGATGTATCTAAAAAAAGATCACAAAACATTTTGAGTCAGTTGTTCATAATATCACATCAACACAAGTGATCAGTACAGCATAATAAAAAATCCAAGTGCACACACAAATACTGTCAGGGATTAAACTGTGTTGGAATCCTATCCCCCTAATAATTCTATTAAGAAATGGGCTTTTCTTTAATATGTTAATTCGCTCATGCCCAAGTAAAATGGGTTCTAAATCTAATCACTTCTGAATTATAAAAAGAACAAACAGATTAGGGCTCAGAGATAAGCACACATTGGAGAAGTGGAGAGGGAGTGGAAACAAACCAAATTAAAACATCTGCAAGGCACAGAACCAAGGACTACCTACAAGGAAGGAATCTATATGGCCAAGAGCCTGATTTGAATGTTTAGCTTACAGAACTGTAGGAAAATAAATTTTATCTTCTTTAAAGCCATCCAACTGCAGTATTTCTGTTGCAGCAGCACAAGAAAATTAAATTACAAGGGTTGGTCACAAATTATGCACAATCTAGCTGTAGAACTGATTTTAGTCAACTTTTAGAAAAGAAAAATATGTAATTTTTTGACAAAAAAATCCTCAATATACTTTTCTATCTGTCAACAAGCTTTCGTATTCCCTTATTTAAAAATGTTTTAGGGTGAGCTGAAAGTTACTAATGCACCACTGTCTTCACTTCTTCATCAGAGGTGAATCTTCATCCTCAAAGGGCTGCTTTCAGGGGATCAAACAGGTGAAAGACCAATGAAGCAAAATCAGGACTATAAATAAGGAGGATGCTTTAACACATCAAAACAAAGCTTTTGCATAGTGTTCACAGTGTGGATGGAGGTGTGCAGACGTGCATTGTCATTTAAGATCACAATACCCATAGACAGCAGTCCTCTGAGTTTAATCCAAAATTTAGGCTTCAGCTCTTCAGTAAGCATCTCACTGTCATAAGCACTGTTAATTGTTGAACCTTTTTCCTGAATCCAGTACTGGTCTGTGAAAATCCCAGAAAACTATAAGCATCAAATTTCCAGCTGATGGATGACTCTGGAACTTTTTCTGGGTTGGCAATTAAGGATGTTTCCATTTCATACTCTGTCGTTTACTTTCAGGCTCATAGTGATGAATTCATGTCTCATCACCAGTAACAATTTTTTTAAAGAAACTTTGACCTTCCTTCGAGGATCAGTCCAAATTTTGTTTGCAGGTGTCCAAATGCTTCTGTTTACGCTCTTCCGTGAGTTGTTTCGGTACCCATCTTGCACAAACTTTTCGACACCCAAGTCTGTCATGGATTATTTTATAGGCAGAGCCATGGCTGATTTGCAAATGATTTGCCACACAATCCACTGTCACACATCTATTTGAGAGAATCATTTCATGTGCATGCTCAGTTGTCATCAGCTGTGGAACATGGACAGGTGTTTTAACATAACTGGAGCATGGATAATTTTTGACCCACCCTCATATATTCTTCATTATCAGGCACACAAAGAGCCCTCATTGTGCTGCAAGGCTAGTACTAGACTGCTAACTGGCTGTTCAAACCCACCAGCAGCTCCAGAGGAGAAAGATGAGGCTGCCTGCTCCCATAGAGATTTACAGTCTTTAATACATTATATAGAGTTGCTATGAGTTGGAATTGTTTCAATGGCAGCGGGTTTGGTTTTCTAAATTGTATTGTACTGGTCTGATTGTTTCATTACAAAACAGAGTGTGCCTAATTTCAAACAAACAAAACTCAATGCCATCTAGTTGATTCCCACTCATAGTGACTCTAAGGGTTTCTGAGAGTGTAAAGGTTTCCTCCTGCAGAGTGGTGGGTTTTGAACTTCTGACCTTGAAGTTATCTATCTTACCCAGACAGCACCACCAGGGCTGCTTCCAATACACACTTTATAGTACAGTAAAGATAGACATAGTATGTTAGAAAGAAAGAAGCAGTCAAGGAAGACTTCTTTGTCAAAGAATATTTTAAGTTGTGCCTTTAAGTTGAAAAAAGTTATGTGAAAACTGAGAGGACGAATAACATACAAAGACCAAGAAGAGTGCCTCTGGTTCAAGATGGAGGGCTGTATGCACAGATTTATCTACTTTCTGTATCAAAAAATTACACTTAAATGACAGCAAAAAAAATTTTTTTAAGGCTTTTTTTTTTTGTTTTGGAGTTTTCAAAAAATAAAATCATAACAAAAATAAAAAAGAATGCCATTAACAGACAAGAAATTTATAAGACAATCTACAAATTTAATTCAAATAATGGAGAAAATCAAAATACAAATCTAAACATATATGGTAAGATACTGATTTCTTCCCAAGAAAGCTTGATACCTCCAGAAAATATAGAAAAAGAATAGGGAGCGCTTCAGGGTGATAAACTCGATTATTAATTAAACTAGAAACAACCTAAATGCCCACTGAGAGCAGAATGGAAACACTGTGGTATATTAACAAAAAGAAATATCTTTCACACAATGGAATATTATAAAATAGGGAAATACATAATTCAACTACAAGCTAGAACACTAGAAAATCTCTAAAACATAATGGATGAAAAAAATAAATTACAGAAGATTATGCACCATATGAATATTACTCATATATAGGCAAAAACAAGCAAAAGTAGACAGTATACTGTCTAGGTAATAAATACATGTGTGAGCAAACATTTTTCAGGCAAGGGAATGATAAAACATTCAGAATAATTAATGAGAAGATACAAGTAAACAGGATGGGGAAAAATATAGAATCTAGTTCTTAAATGGAGTGATGAATTATTCATCCTGAGTTTATTGTTCACCACCACATATAGAAGTTGCATGTTTTCTTTGTTGTTGTTGTTAGGTGCCATCGAGTCGGTACCGACCCATAGCGACCTTATGCACCACAGAACGAAACACTGCCCAATCCTGGGCCAACCTCACTACTGCTGCCACATTGAGTCCATCAATGCTGCTACTTCGCCAATCCATCTCATTGGGGGTCTTCCTCTTTTTCTGACCCTCCATCTTACCAAACATGATATCCTTCTCTAGCAACTGCTCCCTCCTGACAATAGGTCCAAAGCATGAGAGACGAAGTTTGGCCATCTTGGCCTCCAAGGAGTACTCTGGCCGCACTTTTTCCAAAATGGATCTATTGGTTCTTTTGGCAGCCCATGGCACTTTCAATATTTTCCTCCAACACCATAACTCAAAAGCATCAATTCTTCTAGAGTCTTCCTTACTCACTGTCCAGCTTTGGCATGCATATGAGGTTACTGAAAATACCATAGCTTGGGTCAGGTGCACCTTAGTCCTCAAGCTGACATATTTGCTTTTCAACACTTTAAAGAGGTCTTGTGCAGCAGATTTGCTTAATGCAATACGTTGCCTGATTTCTTAACTGCTGTTTCCATGAGTGTTGATAGTTGATCCAAAAAGAATGAAGTCCTTGACAACTTCAATCTTTTCTCCATTGATAAGGATGTTATTTACTGGTCCAGTGGTGAGGATTTTTGTTTTCTTTACATTGAGATGTAATCCATATGTGCTCTTTGATCTTCATCAGTAAATGTTTTAAGTCCTCTTCACTTTCAACAAGCAAGGTTGTATCATCTGCATATCACAGGTTGTTAATGAGTCTTCCTCCAATCCTGATATCACAGTTTTCTTCATATAACCCAGTTTCTCGAATTATTGGCTCAGCATACAGGTTGAACAAGCATGGTGAAAGAATACAGCCTTGTCGCACACCTTTCTTCATTTTAAACCATTCAGTGTTCCCATGTTCTGTTTGAACAACTGCCTCTTAGTCCAGGTACAGATTCCTCATGAGCACAATTAAGTGTTCCGGAATACTCATACTTCACAATGTTGTCCATAGCTTGTCATGATCCACACAATCGAAAGCCTTTGCATAGTCAATAAAGCACAGGTAAACATCTTTCTGATATTCTCTGCTTTCAGCCAAGTTTATCAGCAATGTTTTCTTTGGCATGTATCAAATTTTGCTCCTCGGAAACCCTATACAGGGTCACTATGGGTGGGAATCAATTTGACGGCACTTAACAACAACAACTGTCATTGAGTCAATTCTGACGTATAGCAATCCTCTAGGAAGAGCTAGAATTGCCCCACAGGGTCTCCAAGCCTGTAAATCTTTACGGAAGCAGACTGCCATATCTTCTTCTGTGTGGTGGATTTGAACCGCCAACTTTTAGGTTAGCTGGTGAATGTGTTTTTACTGCTGTGCTATTAGGGATCTCCATCAAATATGTTGTTGTTGTTGTAAAGTGCCGTCGAATTGGTTCCAACTAATAGCAACTCTGTATAGGGTTTCCAAGACATGTAAATCTTTGCAGGAGCATAGAGCCTCATCTTTCTCCTGCTCCATCAAATACGTTGTTGTTATTAAGTGCTACTGAGTCGGATCTGACTCACAGCAACCCTGTATAGAGTTTCCGAGTAGCTGCTGGTGAGCTTAAACCACTGACCTTACAGTTCCAACTAACTTTGTAGTTCAGGACATTTAACCCACAGCACCACACCATCAAATATAGTCTTGAATAATAATGAAAGAATTTCAGTAATAACTTAGCCAGCCCTGCCAAATAATTATCCAAACAGTAGCAACACAGGAATTGCTTTCTAAGAATGTGAATAATCTGCCCAAAACTGAATCCTAGAATGAATCACAAACAGAAGCACAGTTTCAGGTCGTCATTGACATTCATATTACATACCAAAGCAGGTTAAAAAAAGAAAAAGAGTGGAAGGAAGGAAACTACGCTTGGCTTTTGTAAAGTATATATTTTAAATTAGTTTGAAATTTCAAAATAAGAAAGAGAAGGAGGGGTAGATATCTCTAAAGGAACTCTCCTTTCAAAATAATCCTGTGCATTCTGCTTTCAAAATAACCAAAATCCAGTAAATTCTCATCATCTACACAACTTCTTCTCTAGTCCATTCTGTCATCATCTCTAGTTTCCTCCTAATTTGGTCTCCATGTTTCCATCCTAATTTCAATAT